GATCTGGATTGTATTGGGTATTCTATTCTAAAGACTCTTTTTCTCTCTTGTCTTTGTATTTCAGGTTGGTTAGTGGACGTTACTGGTGAATATCAGTACATGTATTTTGTCTGCGGAGTGATTGTGATTGTGGCCAGTATCTGGTTGTTCATTGGCAATGCCATTAACTACAGGCTTTTGGCAAAAGAAAAGAAGTTAGAAGATGAGAAGCAGAAAGCACATAAGAATGCTGACTCAAAGGAAGCAGAACCATTAACAAACAATGAGAATGAAGATGCTGCCAGCAGAGCTGATAAAGCTCTTGAAGATCCTTCAGAAAGAGAAACCAATATTTAATCTGCAGTACAGCTCAGAAGGCAACATTTATGACTTCCATTAGAAATATGTCTTCAAGACACAGGCCAGGTTTTGTGGTAATAATGATCAGTCACAATATTGGATGGGAACAGATTTTTGCCCTGTGGCAAGACTCTGAGTTAAATTACTATCTACAGTTTATTTATTTCAGTGATACAAAATTGAGATTACAGAGGTAGTGACTCCATGCAAATAAGTCCATCAAGCTATAGCTCTGGACAATCAAGAGTCAGGTAAACCAGACTATATATAAAGCCTTCCAATGACAAACAGTTTTGTTTTAAAAGTATATCTAATGCAAAAGAATCTCTTACTCCTATTTGTGAAGATACTTTGTGTTCATTTTTAGAGTATTGTTAAAGTCTGTTGAAATAATTTGCCCAAACTGTACTTACCACTAATATTAAAAAGAATATAAACTCAAAGATTTGTTTCAAAAGAGACAGAGTACCTGAGTGAAGCACATTGAAACTTTTTTCTCTTTTGTATGCCCACTAGATCAAAAGGATACATTATGTCTGTATAAACAATTATAATATGGATGTAAAAGTTAAGGCTAGAAGATGAACAATTGGTGGGCACCATCTCTAAAACACAATAAACAGCTGAATTACAGTATATTCTAGAAGTTGTTTCCTCCTGTGACAGCTGACTACATTGTACTTCAACATACACATTGGAACACAAAGTACATTCAGACCTCACTAATTCAAACTAAGCTAAAATCTGCCTGTACATAAAAGGATTTCAAACCAAGATTTACATTGCTAACAAGAGTGGCAATTAGTTTGTTTGGTTATGTATTCCTGTATGGCTGAAGGAACTGGATTGGACTGTGAGCCTTCTTCCTCTAAAGGGACTAGATTCAGAACCTGCTGATGTTAAAAGGGTACTTACCCTTGGCTTTTGTGGCCTGAATCAGTTTTATGGCAATGACTTCAAAGTAGATGCTTGGGTTTATTGGCAACTCATTAGTTGGTCTACTGAGAGGAGATTTAAGGTCTAACTTCAGGTTTTTGCAGACAGATAAATTTATACCAGTTCTCACCTCCCTTTCCCATGTATTTAGTGAAAAGCTACGTCTTTTTTGTAATGCCAGTTCAAGCAAAAATGCTGCAAGGCGCATTGAAAGTGCCAGTCTGGAAGCTTTGTATTGACGTATCATTTTCATGCAGGGTATTTGGTCTTGTGTCTAGAAATTCGCACAGACACTCATAGCAATTAAAATTTACAGAACTCTTCCCCTTCCTTTAGGCAAAAGAAAGCATAGGTCTGCAATTCTACTTTACAGAAATTAGCATTGCACTTGAAAGCTAAAAGTGCAAGCTTCAGAAGGTATTAAGTGAAAATATTTCTGTTCTATTTGTAGACAAGGAAAGGTGCTATTCATTTTGGAGAGAAGCATGTAAATGCCTCAGAAATTGTGAAAATTAAGGGTCTGATTCATAAAACATTTATGCACTGTTTATGCAGAATACACATACATTCAATTCAGGGAAAAGGATATAATTCATTTTAGCCCTCTTTTAAATCTTAAAAAGTTGCAAATATATTGGACAAACAGCTAACTGTGTTAAACATACTTTGACATGCCAATAACAAAAGAAAAAAAATAGTAAAAACTAGCAAACGTGAGTGCTTTTAAGAAAGAGTAGTGTTCAATATTATTATTTTCATTCTTGTAAAAATTTTGGTAGTGCTTGCTTCTGTTTTGCTGGGTTATCCTCTTATATACTATGATCTTCCACAGTAATGCTGAACTTTTTCATTATCTGAGTACCATTTTGGGGCAGAAGCATCATGAATCTACTTACAGCATGGTACAGAAATTAATACCTACTTTTTACCTAATTATATGCAAGAAAACCAAACACCTTCTACAAGTCCTGTAATTTTATAGGCGCATCAGCAACAAAATATGTGCATTTCAGAGTTTTGCAAGAAAGTATGGGTTACATGCTCAGATTTGAGCAGTGTACTGGGTAAAGGAGAATGATTTAGTCCCAGTAAAATTACAGTTCCTCTCCCAGCCCCCAGCTTCAGAGAAGAAATAAATACATTGCACCTCCTTCTGAACCATAGCCCTGCCAGCACCCCACAAGGTAAAAGCGTTGCTCTGTTTTTGGCTATACAAACGTACAGGGTGAATTCCAGGATCTGTGAAGGCCCTATGTGCCCAGAGCCAGAAAGTGATAAGGAGTTTCATAGACACTAAGCTTTCATACAGTGAGGAATATCACTTATAAATACTGTATTGTGAAAGATGAACTGAATTTTTAGCTAAAGAGTAGTCATCAGGAACATCACTCTGCTCTTGACAGCAAGTGGTAGAAAGGCAGAGATTATTTGAAAAGAGAAGAATATAGAGGCTGAACCAAAACGATTGAGGCAAAATTCTAGGTGCTTATTATCTCTTTGCAAAAAGCAGCGTGATTAAGAATATAGGGTAGAAGACAACAAGTGTCAAGTTTTTGACTTAAGTCTGTTAAAAGTTGCTATTGAGTAAATAAGGGACTCAGATGATAAAAAAAGGCTCTCAGGAAACATGCAGGCAACTTACCTGTTCTATGCAGGCTCATGGAATACAATGCAACGTGGCATAGGAAATAAGGGAAAAACAAGGTTCCTCGAGCCATAGGCACACCTGACCACCAGTAACAAAAATTATGTTACTATCTCAGAGGAAATAAAAATTTATATAAACACAACCCTCTGCAGAGCTACTACTCTTTCATCTCTGGTCAATTATGTTAAAAAATAATAGGAATGAAAGAGCTGCTTTATCACCACTCACCAATGTGTAATTTTTAATCCCATAGGGTAAAATGATGCAGCAGGCAACTGGAGCAATATAAAGTATGAACTGAGTCAAGTGAAACATTTCCTTACACCTCTTACACTACTTTTCCTAATAATACTAGCAACAAAATAAAAAACATCAGAATACTCTTCATATTACTGAATATTAAAGAAGTTAAAATCCAGAGATGAATGAAGAAAATTGGAACCATATCTATGCAAAAATTGCCTGGAATTAAAAAGCTGTGTCTTCCAAATAACAGGTCCTAAAGGGGCAATTGCCTTGTCTAAGTAGTTCTTATTTCTAAAAGTAATAGTAATAATAAATTGCCTTGAATCAATTCTATACTGAGCAGCAAAGTAGCAAAATGAGTATAACTTGCCTTCAAACCCCTGAATACCACTCTTACTTGTACTGAGCTGTAATTTGTACTGCAAATCATTTCATCATTACGTTTCTGCTTTCAGGATAAGACCTGGATATATACCATCTCTCTAAATCCTCCTGGTTTCTTTTAATTACCTCACCCCCAGTCTGGACCACTGCAGGGTCAGGACTAAGAGATGCCCCTGCCCTACAATCAAGAAATGTACTCTCAAACTTCAAGACATACCAGATGCATCTGCGATGCACTATGGAGTCTGTTCTCTCAGTCAGTGCAAGCAAATCCTTAATTGCTCTTAATCTCATTTGAACTCATCTATACTTCATCCTCTTCATTTCTCTGCCACAACATCACTAAGCCTAATTATCATCTTGCTCTTATTTGATCAATCAAGAAAAATAATGCCAGAATCTTAAAATTAGTAGGAAAGAGGATAACATCAATAATATTTTTCCTATTTAACATCAAGGTTAAATTTCAAGTAGTTTCAAAGTAGACATGCAGATACTTTTATCTCTTTAGGGTTTTTTGACATCGTACTCTCTAGTAGCTGGAGGGTTCTTCTGTATTGCCCTTTCCAACTCCAGAGAAAGACTTCTCACCAATAATTCTCAGTACTTTTTCAAGAACATATCAGAAGTTCACCCCTCCCACCTCTTACCATTGAACTGTGGTTGCAAAGGTTGTCAGTTCTGTATTTCCATTAAGTTCACAAAAGCATCTTTTTACATGAAATCCTGCAACATGAGTAGTCAGACTACAATCCTTTTATTTCAGGAGTTTGATTTGTGAACTGTTTTGACAGAGTTAGGAAAAGTCTTATTTTATCTTCAAATATACATTTTTTAATGACGCTGTCCTTATGAGAGGACGTTCAACTGTGCTTACTTCTGAAGTGAGTGGCAGGAATTTCACTGACATCATGATTCAATATTTTAACATTTTAATGGTGTTTTTGCATATCAGCATCCAGTGTGCTTAAAAAACATTTGGCAGTGTGTACATAATTGTTCCTCCCAGAGAACTCTTGTTCCTCTGAAGGTTCCTCACCCTCCACCCCGTTCTCCATTTTAATGTAACAGAAAGAATTTGGGCCTGGCATGTAGTGACTTTTATTAAATGCTTTCCTGTCATTCTCTTTCATCAAATGCCTAAGCAACATTTTCACTTGCTACTTTCAGATCTGGATGGTTGTGAGTATTAGTGGGGACGTATTATTCAGATACATAATAAGCTACAGATACCACATACAGCCAGATTTGGGGTAGCCATCAGGATTTCACTAAACAGAGCCAGTGACCAATTTTATAGACGAACATGCTGTAACTGATACTGACAATTTTGCCTATAACAAAACAGAATCAAGGCAACTTTTGTTAGTTTCTCTATAGATGACTATTTTTCTACTCACAGAGAGGAATATAAAGGGAATTTTTAAATAATTATTTTCCGAAATGACATATCAATTTTAACAAGGCTCTCTGGATTTTTTTTGGGGGGTGGGTGCTTTTCTGATATTTGTGCATATATATGTATATATATATGTATATATAAAGTGTTTGCATGTATTATCACCTTTTTGATCACAATTTGCATAAGCATTGCTATGTAATTTCAACATAATTTGCATGTTGTTGTTTTGCAGTTCAAATTTTTCTCATCATCTACCTCTCAATTGAAGTTTGGAGACTTGCACGACCCTGGAAGAATACAGTTGCCAAAAACATAATCATAAAACCTGTACAGACTATTAGAAAGTCTCCCAAATATTTGAAGCTACTTAAAATTCTATTTTTAAGGCAGTGCATATTTATGACCAAATTCTTGTATCAATTGGCGTAGCTTTATTAAATCTAAAGATTTAACCCATACTGGTGTAGTTTTTACATCACTGAACTGATAGAAAAACTCAATGTGTCATGTGTCATTTAGATATCCAAAGTCTACTGACCTTTCTGTGAGATGCTGGCCCTCCTTTTTTTTTGTTTTTGGGTTTTTTTTTTTGGTTTTCTTTCCATTTCTGAGTTAGGGGAAGTAATTAAATGGAAACATTGCATAGTTAATACATCAAAACATTTTTAAAAGCTGTTACAGAATACTTTGCATTTTGCACCCCTGAAGAAAAAAGTTTCTTTGGTTTAGAAATAATACAAAATTTTAGCTTCCCCCCTTTTGTGGGGCAGTTGAGGGAAATGGTCACAAAATGTTGGACTGGGGCCAAAGAGTAATGATTGTTCTTCATATGCTCTTTACAAAAAAAGAGATGATTGTTTCTTCAAAGATATTCTTCTTTTTAGTCTGCAAACCATGCTTGCCTTCTAGGACCTAGTACAAATTCCACTGAAGCCAACATAAAAAAACCCTTTCAAAGTCAAAGAGCTTTATTAGACATCAGAGTTGATGTGGCTTCAGTGGAGGCTTCAGCCTTATTTTCTCCATATCAAATCTCAGGACTACCAGATATAACACAGCAAATGCAGGATTTGTTGCAACTGGCAAATTTAACTATGCCTGCATAATATTCCTAATGAATCAGTCCCTAAATTAACGCACAATATGTATTATTTTAATAGCCTATGTAAATAAAAAAAAT